TTGAAAATAACATGGACAGCAATTCATTATATATGTTAAGTAAGTGCGGATTAACAAATGGACAGCTCAATATTGAGGTGATTTTTACATTCGAGTTATTCTTGTCACTTTTATTTTGGTAAGAACATTTTTTCTAAAAGGTGCTCTTTGTTTCGCCATCTAATGAAAAAATAATACAATTTAAAATTTGGCATCTAATGGTGATTNGGGATGTTAGTGGTAAATATCAGTATTCTATAAATATATTAAATTGTGGTCTCTTTTTTTATTGGGAAAGGTTTGGTTCTCTTCTTCTCCATCTCGATACAAAAAATGTGGGAATCTTCCAAGAAAAGAAAGGTAGGAATCAATTTCAGAAATTACCTCAAAACAAAGATGTATAGGTCATGCAAAGGAATAACTTTCAGACACAAACTGGGAAAAATCCCTCTCGAAACACATATTTTCTTATTAACATTGAATTACACAAAAGAAAAATACTTTCAAACATACGCTGAATTATACGAAAAACACCCCTCTATTCCATTTGTATTCCAAACATCCGTAATGGAATCGAATCAGATATCATTCACAGGATTCCTACATAATAATTTTAGTTTCCATTATTTTTGATGTACAATTTAAAAAAGAAGCATTTACAATTTTGCAAACATTCGACAAAAGCCTAAAATTCCTGAAATTTTGTTTCAGTATCAATTTCAAGATTCCGTATATACATTTTATATACATAAAAAAGAGGAAGTGTTGATTTTGTTAGATATATGAGACATATCTCTTTAGACAACTTCAGTAATCAAATGTCTGAAATGATAATCTATATTTGATAAACATCTTCAGAATAAAAAAAATTCTGGAATATTATCTAGATTTTTGGAAGAAGGAAACTCATACCTGGCATTGAAAAGTTTTTCCACCCAATGAGATGGATTAGTAAATAAAGGCTTATAGTGAAGCCCAAAAGTCATCAGATATTACATCCCCATTTGAAATCGTGAAATCTAATAGAGTTTTTGAATCAAAATAGAGTCTAAATTATTAGAATTACCACAGAACTTATTCTCCATATAGGGAAGAAATGATGTCAATTCGCACATTTGATTTAAGAGACGGTTAATTTAGTCAAACTTGTTATCTCATTTCGTTGGTTGTAGTGTTATTCTCTAATCAATATAAAATATTTTTGTTAATCCTGTACCAACAAATTGGTTAATCAAGGATCAGGCATTGTTAATAATCAAAAAAATAATTTTCTTATNACTTGCAATCCTAATGAAATATAGAGAAGGTGAAATGCTGGATGTTTATCAATTTTGAAATTTGAAAAATGATTATCCATCAATCATTCAAACTCCAAAATCAACTAGATTCATTCAGAATTCGGAAATGAAATTCCAATCAAGTTAACAGATAAATTCTTGATGTCTGTTTTATTAGATTTGTCTCATCATACATATATCATACTTACTCTGCATACGAAATAATATATAAATTATCATCTGCAAGTTTATACAATACATATTGAAAAATATAAAAGGGGCTTATATGAGCTAATTAGATTTTTATTTCCATAAGTCTTTACTAGTGGACTTCGAAGTCTTTTAGAATTTAATGCACAAAGTACAGAAAATATGTTTGACAATGAAGCTACATTTTTCATTAAGTGCATTGATAGTTATTCTCGAAAAATTTCCATATATTTTAATTTCACTGAGTTTGTTATTTACTTTTTTAGAATATATGATTTTCTCTGGAATAAAAAGCTTTTTTGTTTCCTATTTCTCTATTATTAAACAAAAATTGTGGTAAAACTACCAAAGAAATAAGGAAAAAAACTACAATATGAACTGAAAAGATATATAGTGCATACACTGAAGTTTGTTTCTGATACAAACTGGAAGAAAAAACCTTTTTGAAATAACTACTTTCACATGAAAATTGAATAATACGAAAGAAATGATCCTTCCGAAAAAACGACTCCCATATGACCATTGAATTAAACGAAAATCACTTTTGTCAATTCATGCCCATGAAACCAAAACAAGGTAGATTTCTCATACTTGGCGTTTAGAAAGAGAATCATTTGATTCCGTTGATTTTTATTCTCAGGGTAAATCTGTTGTGAATATTTTCAACCTCTGCGTAATGAGATCCAACTCGTCTAATGTCCTATCATTTTCCTCATCAATATTTCCTATTTTTAAAATTTTGATAGCTAATGATAGGTCAACAAGAAGAAAGTTGATTTTTATAAACATTTGAGCAAACTCTTCTGATGCCGTTTTTGTAGTTTCTAAGTTTTAACGTCGCAAAAAGGTACAAAAAATTATTCCAAAAACAACAAATGTTCAAAATTGTGCTCTTCACTTCCATAGTGTAATGGCACTTTCGGGCACGCAAACATTTCAGACATGTTCCGATATTCAGCAACTTTTTCATTTGGAATTTTTTTTATTTGCCATCAATTTTGTCTCCCGGGCTTTGTCTAAGAGTTCAGTAAGGAATTTCCGGTTAACATGCTTATCAGGATTGTGACCATCAAAAAACTGTGCTATAATATTAGCGCACCTACCGTTTTCTTATGTACCTATACTCGTTCTGTGATTGAATATACCATTGTGATCAAATTAATAAGCCGAAATAATCATGATAAAAAATATGTTGGTCAATAATTGTAGATAAATTGAATGTTAATTATTCAATGGGAGATATGGAGATTTGCTTTATTTCTTTCATTAAAAGCATTTCATTCAAAATACTAAATATCAAACGAACAAGTTAAGCAATTTTCGAAAAAATAATAAACAATTTGCCTTGAAAGTGAAACATGTATAATGTTAGTTTTTTGAAAGATATTTTAAGGATTTTCTCTATATCTAACGCATAAATTTTTGAACATTAGTTAATGTTGGAAAGAGAATTTGTTGATTATTAAAACGAGATACTGCCGCGCGGTAGTAATATGGGCACAAACAAGCCCTCATTGCCTGCATATGCAAAAGGTCCTTCAAGCCTATAAGTAAATTGGTTCGCTATCACCGTTCTTAAGATGAATGCATGTATCTCAAGTCAAACGAATTTTATCAATTATTATTATTACCCTAATCTCATTCAAGACATGAAAACCACCCGGTTTGAGTCATCATAGATGGAAACAATCAAGACATTGGGAAATTTATTACACACAAAATTCAAAAAAGAATATGCAATTCTAAAAAAGAAAACTTCAAAAATGCCTTTGAATAAATCAAATGAGTCGAAAGGAATTGAGAGTTGCCACCAGCTGATATATTAGAGAGATAGGTCAGTGTTCGTTAACTACAATAAGTTAAAAGAGAGTGTCGATCAAAATAAAAATTCTTCAACGACTTATTGATGCAAAATGAAAATAATGAACAATTGACAATAAGTTACGAATCTGACATATGAAACTTTTTTTTTATGTAAGNATTTTTCCTAGGGCTTTTAGTGCCTGGTTTGAGATTTGGTCCGGAGCTAGGACTTGCCTAGTAGCGAGACCTCTTATGATGTTTCTGACTTCTTCCGAAGATGTGAGGTTTAGAATGTATCCCTCCGGTGTCATCTCATTCTGTGTACCGTCTGTTTGACCTGTTACTCATTATTTTCCACCTCATTGGTAAAGGCAACATCATTCTCTCAAAATTGTCTTTCGAAGGAGTCGGCAAATGCTTCAGCGTCCTCTTGTTCGATGTAGACTATTTTCTGTTTATTAAAGGGGAAGGTTTTCAGGTCCCTTCCTCATAACCTTCTGCATTTTCCATGCAGATTGGTTTTTTGGTGTACAGTTCCGCGAGACGAGCGGTCTTTTGTCAATTACGGAGCGTTTGCAATCCTTAGCGCATGAGTCTAATGGCTCTATGCCTACACCTTTATTTCATTGGCGCAAGTGTCCTCTGGACTATTCTCTTAAAGCATTTTAAGAGCTCCATTACCTCTGGTGAGATATGTTCCTGTTTTCTATATTTCCTATCCCGATTATCTTCTTCCATCCATCTACGAAATGGCGATGTTTTGCTCTATGACGATATCATGTATGTCCGATTAATATATATCTGCTCTAGAGTACTGCGATGGGACCTCTGAGTAAACGGAAGATGTGTCTTCAATGTCTTCTAGGATAGTTGTTAGGTAGTGGTCTATGAAAATTTCTGCTATGTTGGCTTTCTGTATGTTTCCCTAAGGGAGTAGGTACGCCGAGGCAATCCCGAGCTATTCTCTACGCCTTACCTTGACTCAAAGGGTGACGCTGTCGATCCTGTAGATGTTGAATCCTATTATTGTAGATTCTACAAGGTTCTCAGCCTGAATTCTTAGATTGCCATAATTCTGATAGGAATAGTAGCTCTCCTTTGTAATACCGTTAACATTTCAAGATCATATCACAAGACTATTCGGAAACCGTTTTCATAAACGGTTTGAGTTCTTATAGTAGGGTAGACAACAATGCGTGGGCCATTGTCTTCTATTCGTCTGTTGACTTGTTTAGAATTTCCTTGAGGTCCAGTACTCCAAAGGCTTGTATCTTGGGTTCGTTTTTCTTGGGAGCCGCGTTCCTTGGTTTTGATGGCAGTTTTTCCTCCACTCTTGACTGAGTGTTTTTGGCAGGGAACCCCAGTTTGGTTAGGAAAAGAATTTACATTCCTTGTAGCTGGTAGGGTGTGGTTGCTTGCTTGTCACTTTTGCTTTGCCGCAAGTGCATAACTCATCGTTTTCACCACACTTCACGTAACGAGCTATTACACGGTGGCATTTTTGTGAGTGCTGAACCGTTCACACTGGTGGCAGTACGACATGACTTCTTTTTTGTACTTCTGCTTTAGTTCTATCCTCACGATAAGTTTTACACATATTAGGTATATGTCTGATTGATGACTTGTTTATTTTGTGGTAATACATGATCACTTTAATGAAATGAATAAAAAATTACCACTAGTTTATGAAATTCCAATCAAGTTAACAGATAAATTCTTGATGTCTGTTTTATTAGATTTGTCTCATCATACATATATCATACTTACTCTGCATACGAAACAATCAGGGTGCCACTGCGAATTCAGAGCGGAAATATAATTTTCCATGATAGCGCGATTGCAAGCACCGCATTTAGGGGCAAACATATCGAAGTAGTCATCGCGACAGTATGGCTTTCCTTCGCGTTCATGGAAACCATCCTCTCCAAATTGTTTGCCGCATTGGGCACAGAAAAAGTGGTCCGTATGCCATGTCTTCTCCAGAGCGGTGACGCATTTCTGTAAAAAATTACATACCATTAGACCAACTGTGAAATTTATGGAAAACTTCTGCTAAGTTCAAACTCCGCCCGAGGCGAAGGCATCAGGCGAAATCACTACAAGAGCAGAAAGTTTTCCATGATTCAACAGGTGGTTGCGCATGATGGGACCTACATCCAAAATGGGACCGTTGCAGTAAGCGCATCTGGGACTGAACAGGTTGTGGTAGTCCGGTTCGCAGAAGGGCTTCCCTTCCCGTTCGAAGAAGTTCCTCGTGCCGAGCTCCTGAGTGCAGTGGGCGCAGGTGAAGTGCTCGGGATGCCAGGTTTTTCCAAGTGCCGTAATTACCTGACCGACGATTGGTTTGTCGCAGGCGTTGCAGCACCCCTTCTGACTTGTGTTGACTCCTTGGCGGCTCATGTCTGCCTGTAGGTTCCCTAGCATAGAATCCAAATTCTGCTTTGCTGGGGGAGCGCTTTGCGATTGAATTGCTTTGATGGGCAGCGCGTACTGCGAATCGGAGACGGTCTGGTGTTGAAGCCCCTGGTTCACCTGAGAAATAAAAAGGGCTAGGTTATGTTATTCAAAGTAAAAATGTGACCAAGATATGATCAAGTCAGTATAACATTTTTGTCGAAGTTTCTCTTTGTAAAAATCCNTGAATGCCTTTGAATAAAACAAACGAGTTGAAAAGAATTGAGAGTTTCCACCAACTGATCTATTAGAGAGATAGGTCAGTGTTAGTTGAAAGAAAGTGTCGATCAAAATGAAAATTCTTCAAGGACTCATCATGCAAAATAAAAATAATGAACTATTGGCATCAAGTTACGAATCTGACATATGAAACTTTTTTATGTAAGAGGAGATTTCTTCCTCACACCATAAATTATATTTCAATCCTTGCCAAGTCCCGCAGTGAGAAATCATTTCAAATGGGTACATATACCTCTTTATTCTCTTATGTTTCAGGGTGAGAGAGACCACAAGCTGCAGGACTATAAATCTGGTGTAATGTAATATTTACATGCAGACGCTATCTAAAAATAAATTCTACTTTGAAAATATCCGTGCCTCGAGCTTCAGAGTGAAGAGAAATACACTCCACACCACAGAGTATTCGGAATTTCCCGCCTTTTTTGATTACTTGTGATCTCTTTTTTTTTGATATTTTGTTTTGTTTTATATTTTCTTTTTTTATCAACCTTTATTAAAATATAAATATAGTTTCTACAATAAAATTCAAGGGCAATTCAGAAAGAGGGCATTTCAGAAAGGGGGCATTTTTTTATAGGGTGAAGGGCATATTTTGAGAAGGGGCATAAGAGTTGGCATTTTATTCGTCTTCCTCTTCTTCAGCTCCAATGCATCCTGGACATACCGGTTTACCTTCCACGGCATAAAATGATTTTCCTTGGACAGGCAACTTGCAATCCTAATGAAATATAGAGAAGGTGAAATGCTGGATGTTTATCAATTTTGAAATTTGAAAAATGATTATCCATCAATCATTCAAACTCCAAAATCAACTAGATTCATTCAGAATTCGGAAATGAAATTCCAATCAAGTTAACAGATAAATTCTTGATGTCTGTTTTATTAGATTTGTCTCATCATACATATATCATACTTACTCTGCATACGAAACAATCAGGGTGCCACTGCGAATTCAGAGCGGAAATATAATTTTCCATGATAGNCTTTCAACTCTTTCTTAAGAGCTCTAAGGTCATTTATGGTTCTTATAGCTTGAGGAAGGTGATTGAACATTTTAAGACCGTTGTAAATAATGGAATCTTTAACTAGCGACGAAGAAGGCAGCGGTAATTTAAAGCTGAATCTTTGCCTGGTTTGATACATTGGCGCGTCCAAGTTGTTAAACAATACCCTATTTTTGAAGACAAGGCAGATTGTCTCGTATATAAATAGGGAGACCACAGTTAGGATTTTGTTATAGGCAAAAAGAGGCCGACAAGAGTCCCTAGGCTTGGCTTTGCATATGCATCGTATTGCACGTTTTTGTATTAGTAATACTGATTGAAGGCATGTGGTAGAACACACACCCCAAAAGCAAATACCATAACGAAGATGGGATTCAAAAAGGGAATAATAAACCATTCTAGCTTCTGCAGACCCGAGCTCAAATGCAGTTACTCGTATTGCATAACACCCAGAGGAGAGTTTCGACAAGGTTTATTTCCCGACAGTTTGTTGCAAACTAACTCCCCAATAACTCCTTTCGCCTTCTCAAGCCTTTCTTTTTGTTGTGTTTCAGTTGCCGTCTTATTTTTGTTTGTTTCAGTTTTATTATTATTTACGAATAATATACATTATAACGGTCGACCCCCCAGAGGTCTAATAGAGGGGCAAGGCATTGTATACAACAATATGTGCCTGAATCTTGAGAGGAAAACGCTTACGACATACTACAGTACTAGTGAAGCCCTGCCCATTGATATCCAAATTGAGGTAGTTGTGAAATAGTATGTAATCCGCCACTTTGTAGCTGCCGCCATCTTGATTTCACAATGATACAGAATTTATTAAATTTGTGTACCAAATATCAGATCAAACAAACAAGCAGGGCAAGATAAACAAAACCGTTTAAAAATATACCTCTTTTGTATTCAGATTGACACATTTACACATTATTTCCATAACTGTAACTCCAACTCCTTAGCGAGGAAGACATCCGCCCTTATTTTGTCAAATAGGAAGGAGTATGTCGTACCACATCTTTTGAGATTTAGAAATGTAATTGAAGTTTATTGAATAGTATTCACGTATTATCTTGTTAAGTGTTGAAAATATCTATCGTGTACATCTCTGTTTAAAATGTTCTCCGACATCGTAAAAATATCTGATTTTATTTGTTGACATTTACTAGTGACGCGGTTCCGTAAATCTTCAAAAGATTCAGACTGGGTTGCATATATTTTAGATTTCAGATGTCCCAAAAAAATCAAGGGGAGATAAATCGGGTAATGTAGATAGTTCAAGTAAACGATATTGTGCAATCTACCTTCCAACAGGTCCCCTTTAATACTATAGTTTTATCCAAATAGAAAATTTGCCGTTGCTCTTCTTGTCTATATTTAGTTATTTGATCTAAGTATTTGTTACGCAATTCCACTATTCTTCTGCTTTCCATAACTGCTTGACGTTTGTTTATTATTTTGAATCTAAATCCTAATTTCGTTATCCAATTCTGAAGAGTTTTGTCACAGCAGCTCACGTTATGGCCGGAAGTATTCAATTTCTTCCTTATGATTTCGGTTGTATTAATCTCATTGCTTTTGTAACAGTCGTATATTGTTTTATTCAATGATTTTATTGGATGAACATCTAAAGGTTTCGATAATCCTGTATCACATCGCGTCTTGCGTTCATAAGGTTTGTTTTTGACTATTTTACGTACAGTTGTGAAACGAATTTCGGTCAAATCTTTAGCTTCTACTCTGCTTTCTATAGGGACTAGGTTTAACAATTTTGGACCGAAGTATGATATAATGTTAGATATATGTTAGTCTACAGAGAGGAACATTTGTTTTCTGCTCAGATTTAGTACATGTGTTGTAAGTATGACTTATCTGAGAGATGGAGGTATTTTGCATCCATATTAAGCATTGATAGGTATAGGGTTTTCTTACATCAAATAAGCCAGTTTCTTTGTAAAAGTACCTTCTATTTTTCTCAAAAATAATTTTTAATATGGAATTTTGCATGACCTCTAGAACGTGTAGTAATGTTTTACTAAGACCACCCTATATAAATATACAGTACTTCAATAGATTCAGTGAGTGAGTTGTAAATCGTAAGTAAAACCTTTTTATTATTTAGATTTCTGATTTGATAGAATTTATAAACTAACTTATTGAGTCTCTCAACTGTGTTTTCGATGTGTTCTTTTTGGTGTTGGTTCATAAATACATAATGTATTCTAGTATATCGTGGTATCGATAGAGATACTCTTTACATTGATGGTGTTAATTTTTTTCCAAAACATAGATTTTTGCTATATGATGTTCAACAAATTTCGGCAACTTTTTCTCTACAAATTCAAATCGCCTGTTAGCACTATTATTTGGCACTTATAGTGTTAATGGACGCAGTGTTGGACGTTGATTCGCGAAATTTCATTTCGGAGATTTTAGCCTCGAAGATGAGCCCCGAAGTGGTTAACTTAAAATAATCCAGGACGAGGATTTGAGAACCCTGATGGAGACTGGCCCATCAAAAACAGTGCGTGGGTGGCGAAAGAAGTGGGCGTTAGCTCACATTTGGATTGTTTGAAACACATTGGAAAATTTCGAATAGTGGGTGTCCAACGAACGACAAAAATTGTCACGTTTCGAGGTCTGTTCTTCTTTGCTTTTGCTCAACCAAAAGTATCCTGTTTTATTTATCTATTTATTTTCATACAGGTGTAACCTAATTACATGAGAAAATCGTTATAGATGTATCGTAAATTCATAGCCAGTATACAATAAAAGAAACTAAAGCTATACACCTATGTAATAAGAAATAAATAAAAAAGTAACTAATCCAAAAATATGACAGAGAAGCTATTGATTGACAATTAATATATAATTTTTCAAACCAGTAAAAAAATCTCTAGGGGGTTGGACAAAGCTGAGTTCGGACATTAATAAATAGTGTATTATTTGTGACTTTCAGCATCGTTACGATTGGGGTACCTTGAGTCGTGGTGACTAATGGAATTTCGAAAAAAGGGGTTGATCTTACAATTTTGATAGGGTTTCTTCGGTTCATTGAACTACGTAACTTGGACAGTTAAGATAATTATTATAAATTTTGTAACATATTGCGATTATTATGTATAGGAGGCCCTAGACGGCCAATCATTTTGATCAAACGCTTGAGTCAGTCACGATGGACTCAAGCGTGATTTTTCGTGAATTTTCGTCAAGCATTGCGTCAGTTACTATGTGGAAATCGTGGCGTCTGCTACGGAAAGTGAGCTTCCCGAAAGCTCTGAGCGGGAATTCATTAATCTGTTGATTGAATTATATCGCGATTGCCGGAATTATGAAAAGTGAAGAGCAAGGACTATTACAACAGAAACAAGACCACCATTTTTTCCGCTTGAGAAAAACTAATGTGAGGGAGAGAAAGGCCAAATCCGAGTTCGAAACTATTACTTACTGAAATGAACCACCAGTGAACGAACAACAAGTGTGCACTGGTCACATTTCTGGTGAGAAGAAGGTTTTGATCAAAAGATTGAAGAGCTGATTGCAGTTGATTGAAGCGCGCGTTAATCGATTGACTCAATCCTTTGATCAAGCAGATTGATCGTTTAGGGCCACCTTTTAACCTTCTTTTCTTTAAACTCGAGATTTCAAATTTTTCTGAGATCATTAGTTCTCACAGAATTATAATCTGGGTAGACTCCGCATTTCTTAGATTATAAATGCCGCAGTAATCTATTTTGAATTTTTTCCAAATTATTTTTGTATATAAAATGATACGTGTGACAAACGGCTGCACAATATTCGAGTTTGGGTCTCACCAGAGCGTTATATATCCTAATGACTGTTTGGTAATTTCTAAAATGTTCACTTTGCCTCAAAACAAAACCCAAACTCCATAAACCCTGAGAGACTACTATTTCAATTGATTTTTGAATGACAGGGTTGAGTCATATCGTTCCCCCAAATCTTTAACATTACTTGCTCGTGCCAACGTGATATTTTCCATTTCATATGCACACTCTATTTTATCTCTCTTTCTTGTGCAAGTCATTACAATACATTTTAACGTATTGAATGGTAACTTATTTTTCACACTCCGTCGGTAAACATTTTCAATATCCTTTTAGATCGGATCGTCACTTGTAATGAAAAGTGGAACCTCTAGGACAACCGGAGATGTTTATGACAGTGGTTTGACACCGATGAGTCATCCAAGCACTTCCCAAAGGTGAAAATCCAACAAAAAAAAAATGAGAAGTGTATGGTTGCCAGCGGCTGGGGCGATTCACTATAATTTACTACAACCAGGCCAAACCATCACAACAGAGTCCTATTGTAAGTAAATTGGCGAAATGAACCAGAAACTGCGTCTGCAGCAACAGCCGGCACTGGTCAGCAAGAGTCCGATCCTCCAACATACTCCCCAGACCTCTCGCCAACAGACTACCATCTTTTCAAACACTTCGATAACTCCCTCAAGGGTAGAACCTTCGCCAATCAGATTCAGGCGAAAATTTTCATATTGACAATTAATCGACTTGTGTTACGTTGGCAAAAGTGCACTGTTTCAAATGGACCTTATTTCGATTCAATTGAATTCACTGGGATATTACAGTTTAAAGTTAACTCGTGAAAACAGACAAAACTTTTAAAACAACCAATATCAATAATAATTATCTTGGACATTATTTCACAAAATTTTAAACGGCTATCGTATATATCGTTTACTGTCTCGAACCAGTTTGCAGACATTCTGCTGCAAATTCTGGGATATAATAACTATAATGTACTTGTCAGTCTGCAGGCCTCTCATTTAAGAAAGTTGCAATTACTCTTGAACTTTGATTGCTTATAAAATACAATTCAATAAGTTCCGCTCTCTCTGCAATAGAATAAACTATTTTATATCGCATCTAAAGAAAGAAGAAGCACAGAAATAACGAACTATCCATATCAACGAGTTTATTGAAGATAAAATCGTATT